AAAAACACAACACACACACCATGATGAGCTTTGACTGAAAAAACACAAGATCTGTGCACAATGCACACGGCTGTGTTCTGCTCTACATTCCTTGAGTTTTGGTCTGTAAGTGCGAGTGATTTCCCCGTTTGCACTGTGTGTGTGTGTGTGTGTGTGTGTGCGTGTGTGTGTGTGTGTGTGTGTGTGTGTCTGCATTAAATAAAATACAAAGCTTAAAAATAATGGCAAAGCATTACCTGATAGTCGCCGTAGCACAAACGTATAAAGGTATCGATGTCCACTTAGGTCCTCAGAACGTCAATTACAAGTACTGCCGGTAGTTCTACAAAATGGCATGTGTGTGTGTGTCTGCATTAAATAAAATACAAAGCTTAAAAATAATGGCAAAGCATTACCTGATAGTCGCCGTAGCACAACAGTGTTCTATAGTTTAAGCTGATTACATATGTATAACTGAGTCAGTTTAAGCTTTATGATTATAAACATCATATATAGCCTGTAGGTCCAGTATTCTGCAACAAGCATTACAGCACCAAACGTTTCGTCATTTGGCAAAATTCAAGCTTTAAGTGAAAGTCAAATGCTTTTAATAAAGTGTTACTGTGACGCCGTGATTTGTATAAAGCTAGCAATAACATTTCCCCTTGTACTTTCGCTTCTTTTCTTTTTTTAAATTAATCTTTTTTTCCCGCTTAACAAAAAACCCTCACGTCTTCTTTTTTTTAGCGTATTCAGTAGTTTTTGTATCCTGCTAAATCTTGGTGTGCGGTCTGTTTGGCATCATATCACAGCCCTCTTAAATTAATCATAAATATGGCTGTCATACATTAGAGTCACAAAACAGATTTTTTGGTTCCAAGATTTTTGCAGGGAAAGAAAAAAAAAAAGAAAAAGTATAATATAATATTCAGCGCATCTAAACAAGATCTACAGAGCAAGTTAAAAATCTTCCTTTCGGCAATAATGCTCTTCTTCCGTGTACTTCTACAAGCACCAAGCAATATACTCTCAGATTGAGCAGAAAGCAGCAGCCATGACTGTGCCTCTGCTGCAGACAAAAACAACAGAAATAAAAATTAGAGCATTTGATAAGACCATAATAACCTCTCTTCATAAATTAAATAATTAACAGTTCTTTTTTTCTACGTTTTTAGATGATTGGCCTACCCCCCCAACTCAAAAACTACGTCATCACCCTGCCCAACTCTCCCCCGAAATAACAGGAAATAAAAGTACATCACCAAAAACCTGATTTATCATATTATTAGTCGTTAGAATCTTTCTCTTGTGGGCTCTGGGCCCAGAGTTGGACACATTTTAACAATAATAAAATCTGTACATCTTGGAGTTCCCACTCTACCAAAGCTTTTTTTTAACCCATCTCTTCGTCATATACTTGCACAATTAAGTAACCTCAAGGTTTGATAGCACTTTGGAGTTGATTGTTTACCAGCTAGTTTTTGAATACATATATATTAAACATCAACTTTTTATTTTGTTTCTCAAGCTTGTTTTTAAAATTCTTAGTCCTTTTCCTGGGCAGCACCAGCGTTGCCCTCACCCCAATTTGATTGGTCATTGTCGGTAGGCTCCTCCCCCTCCAGGTCGTCCCCTTCCTCGCCTTCGAAGTCTTCGTCACGAGGGAACTCCATGCCCTCCAGGCCCTCCTGAGTGGCCTGGTGCGAGTCAGCGCAGTCTGCGCACACACCGTAACGCCGTGAACCATGGCGGATTCCAACGCTGGCTGCGAGCATGAAGATCTTCTTGCACACCATGCACTTGTACTTTTTGTCCTTCTTGTGCACCTGAGAGAGATGGAGAGAAGAAAACAAGAAAGTCAGGGAGATGCAAGACGTCAGATTAGTCATTTGAAGTTCAGATTCACTAGTTATTTGTCAAAATGACATCTACAGGTACAGTTTTGGGGAGTTAAAGCGTAGTTCACGCTACACAAGTTTCAGCCCGATTTGCCAATGGCAGATGAGTTTTGCAAGTCGCAGACAAAAGCCCCTGATCTGCGCTGAGTGTGAACCATTCAACCATAAAAGCTCGCTGATGCATCACTGTCGCAGACTATGATCAGATTTCCAACCCGCTGGAAATCTAGTCTGAGTCAGCGATAACTCCATTTAGCTCCAGCCGATATGAGTGCAGATGAAGGTGCATGGAGTAGTGAGGGGCCCCCCGACTTTTTATGCTGCACATATCTGTAGTTGAGGAAATCAGGCAGTAAGGCTTAAGCCAACTGGCTGCTAGCAGTAGCTTCCTATTACCTACCTATATACATACATATTTTGATATCACTCTCTCCCAGCAAGAAAGCTGACAAGCATATTATTCTCAACATTGAACTATTCCTTCAAACAAGAACAAATGTACTTTTGTTCTTTTCTCATCACAGGGAACAGAGAATAAAATAACATTTAGCTCATTGTAACAGTCTGAGTTAACCTTTGCTCCATAAAACATTTCAGATTGGTTTGTTTTTGTCAAATTGTGCTGCCAGTAATGATCTACTTAACCTTTATAATAAACATAAGGGATGAAGGACAGTCTCAAAACTCCATTCATCTGAATCACTTAAACCCTCTGTGCTCCCTGTATTAGATGAGACGATAGTCATACAAACATCATGGAGGTGAAACAATATCAAAAGTGGCCGAGACACAGTAGTGTTTACTAGAAGAAGGATAATGCATCGTACATGGTGTTCTGAGATAAGAGTGGAGTATATTGTGAATGTACATGTGTGAACTCACCAGGGAATGTCTCTTTACATGCTCCCGGCGGGTGAACAGCTTGCCGCAGATGTCGCAGCTGAATGAGCGTACACCTGAGTGGATGATCAGGTGCCTCTTGAGCGTGCGCCGGTGCTTGGCGATGTAGTTACAGTGGGGGCACTTGAGCTTATTGAGGGCTAGGTGTGAGGACTCACCTGGGAGCAGAGAGAAAAACAGAAATATAGACATGCAGCTAGAGGTCAGGTCAGGAATTAGATTTTGCAGCACCAGGATCAGATTATTTGCTTTGCATCTTTGAGTGAAGTTAAGATTTGACTAGATGCACTTTCAACTAATAAGCTTGAGATCGAACCAGGCAATTATCATAAAAGCTGCATCTATTAACTCCGATGAGTGAGCGGGTGTGTCAGGAACCAATATCCTGTCTGTATCAAAACATGGAGTCAAGATGCCATGACCATTAGAGAACACAAACCACAAACTTTGAGGCATCACAGTCGAAGCTGTGGAAGTTTGTTAAACTGCAGAAATGCAGGTGATTACACTGTCCACTGTGTTTACCTCACAGTCCAGCTCTGTCACTGTTGCTAAGTAACTGGCGCTTGTCTGCGGTTCAATTTAAATGATGTTGGAGGTCTCACCATGGCGATGTTAAGAGAGGATACGGGCTCATATAAGCAGAGCATGTAAAGCATGTAAAACAGCTTAAGTACATATGGATCTGTTATGTGCCAACAACACTATCTTAGCAACACACACGCTAAAACATGAATGAGCACAACACAACTATGCTTCATTGATTTTGATACTTATATTTTATTTATGTACTGTAATTGCAGTCAGTGACTTAATTCGATGTGTATTAAATGTTTTTAATTTTATTTCAGTGTGTAAAAATAAAGAAATCAAGACGTCCTCATACAAGCACTTTCTTTCATTATCCCCCAGGGACGTTTCTGCAAACAAGCAACTGAGGACAGCAGGGCTTAAAAATAAATAAGCAAAGAATTGATTTTGAAAAGGCTCCAAACTGAGTGTCTCTTTACTGGAGAGAGAGAGAGAGAGAGAGAGAGAGGTAACAGGGTCGGGCTTTTTGTTTGAGCCAGGGAACACACAACAGAAGTGTTGTCAGGGTGGGTTGCTAGGGGGAGGAGGATTGATGAGAAGCAGGTCACCTGTGTATTCACTCTGCATATGTGTGTGTGAAAGTCAGACTTGTCATAGTGTAATAAGGCTTGAGACGATACTCATATATATATATATATATATATATATATATGTACACACACACTCTACACAATGCATCGTCTTTCAGGAACTAATTTATTTTTTTTTTTGGGATAACAGCAGTAGAATTTAATAACTACTAGTTCTGAGCCTTTTGTCTATAGCAAGATAGATCAAAACTCTTGTGCACAGCTGATGAAGTGAGATCCTAAACTTTTTTTAGGTCTCTCCTTTAACTTCACACAATACTTGAGTTTACTTAAAATTAAATCCAATTCCGTAGTTCTTAATAAATGTATACTGCTACTAATGTGAAGTAGATATACAACTAATTATCTTGGTATACGCTTTCTGCAGTAATGTATGCCTATTTTATAATAACAGGAATTGATACAATAGTAGTCAAACTGCAGTAAACCCAACTGAAGTGCACAAACGTATCACATTACAGCTCAGTTTTATCTGGTTTTATTCCAGCTGCTTTATCACCATCCACAATAACTGAACAAACAGTGTGAGCATTCTCCATCGCCTTTCTGCAAAATGAGGCATACTGAATGGACGACCCACGCTCACTCAGTCTGCTCTGCAGTTGGTTGCTTGGTTACAGAAAATACTATGAACAAGTAATAGCAATGAAGAAAAGTAAGGGTGGGGATTTTTTCCTTTGACCGATGACCACATAGTACCGATACAGAATATAATCTGGTTGTCGAGTCGTGACAAATAAGACCCAGTCAGGCAGCAAATGTGGTGTCTACAACTGGGTTTGCAAAAGTCTCTTTATCTCTGTCTATGCTGACTAAAATACAACCTCAAAGTTGAATGGGGCCAGCATCCAAAATGAGTTTTAGGGGCTTGAAACCCACGTAGCAACAGTTATGTGTTGTAAAACGCATCAGTGTGGACGAATCCTGAATCAAGATTTTTGTAGTAGTCTTAAGAGTGCGGCATCTTACCATTCTCCCAGGACTCCCCTTGCTGTAAGTCTTGGATGATGCTATACTGGATCTGATTGGCCAGCTCTGGGAAAGGGGAGGGGGGGGGGCAAGAGAAGTGAGAGGGAGAAAGAGAGATGAGAGGTGGTTGATAGTGTGGGGGGTGCACACACATCTCACAATGCCTTGTGTACAAAACTAACCACCTCCCACATGGAACAATGGGAGTTTCAGTTAACCACACACACACACGCGCGCGCACACGCACACACGCGCACACACACACGCACACACACGCACGCACACACAACTATATGTAAAGCAGCGTGAACCTCCAGAGCAATAATGCTGTAACCAGGGCTCCAGTGAAGAGGGGGGGGTTAATTAGAGAACGACAGAGTCTAGCCCTCACACCAGCTCAGCTTACACTCAGCTTTTGTGAGCACTTGTGTGTGAGCACCTGTGTTTGTGTGTGCGTGTCTGGTTCCTCCAGCATCAGCGCTCAGAATCCATTAAAGGCACGTCCCTGTGAGTGTGAGTGTGTGTGTCTATTCTCCCTGGGTCAATATTTGGAATAGTGAGGACAGCCCCAGGGCATTAGAGTGGATTAGAGAGGGTAGGGAACTGCCCCTGGCAGCTTTGCACCTCGCAGGGGATTGGGGGAGGGGTTACTGTGTGTGGGTGTGTGCACGCTCCTACAGAGACTGGTGTGTATGCAAATGCATTTCACCTGCTCTGTTTGCAGCACCCACCCTTTAAACAATCCAACTGAGTTGTTTGGAGAAGACTCAAGAATTTATGGGCCACGAGTGAGTGCTGGCTGCGGGCTCAGTGTTGTAAGTGCAGACAACGATGGCAGAGTACTTAGAGACATGAAACCACCCTTCACTTTCAACTATATTTCAGCTACTCATTTTCCACAACACTCACCTCCCTGTGACTCTGTAAAGTGTCCAGCTGGCTCTGAAGTTGTGTTTGTCACAATTATTTTCTTTCTTGGTAAATCATTACCAGAAGTTTTTCGATTTAAAAAGTTAACACCATTTGGGGGAAGAACAGGGTGATGGGCTATTTTAAGAGTTTGTTCCATTTTAATGATAAAATACTTGATCTGCAGCCAAGACATGTTCATCTAAAATGCCAAATATATCATTGTTGCAGCTTTGATTATACAAATTGTAAACTGCATATCTAAGAGTTCTGGACTAGTGGTTCGATAGAAAAAGCACTGGTGTTGATTGGTTGGATTAAATGAAACATGAAGATGTCCCCTTGGAATGTAGGAATTGTGACAGGCTGTTTCCTGGTATTTTAAAGACCAGACTAAAAGGTTCAGTGTGTAGGACTTAGTGGCATCTAGCAGTGACGTTGCACATTGCAACAACTCAATACCCCTCCCCTCAACCCCTTACTTTCCAAGTACCTAGGATTGGCTGCCAGGTGACATAATAGGAAGTGTTTAGTTCATGGCTACTGTAGAGACATGGCAATGGAAAATGATAGACATTGCAGAAGAAGACCTCCTCCCAATGTAAATATTTAGGTCTCATTCTAAGGTTGAAATAAACAATTAAAAAAATCTTAGTTTTGCACCATTGAAAGAATAACTATAAATATTATATTCTATTTTTGCCAATAGATTCCCAAATCCTACACACTGGTCCTTTAATCAAAAATTAACTATCAGATTGTTTAATAAAGACATTGATGGTGAGTTGCAGTCTGAGAGGTTTTATCGGTTTAACAACCTCCTGAAGAGGGACTTAAGCACATATTATGAAAGAGACTGTACAAAGAAAGCAACAGGAATAGCGGCACCATTTTGGCGACCATGTTCCCTTATTGGAGCATGACCACACAGATCAAACCAAAGCAAAATGAAAGTCAAGCGTGTGACATCGCAGTGGGAAAGTGGGGCAGCCAGTATTGGTGGATGACTTTTCATAAGCTCAAACTCAAATATGCAAGCAAGAATGACTAATGGTGCAAGAGGGTTGGTCCAGTTTTAGAGCGCATCCCATCTCCAAAAGATTAGCTTATGATACCTAGTATAAAGCCAAGAGCCTAAGTCTATTCTGCATGAATGAATCTCTCTATACATATATTAAAAACTTTATTGGATAATCTAATAACCCACAGCGGACATGACTAATAAATACGAATTCTCATTTTTGCTTTGTAAAGTAATATTGAGTAAAGCCTAAGTCACATTTTAAACATCATGTGACACCCATCCAGAGCGGGTCACAACAAATGAGCACTGTATGCGGTACAAGAATGATCAAGTGTGGACGGCAGGGAGGGATAGTGGGAAACACTGTCACAAGCAGAAATCTTCGACAAATGAACATCTGTCCATAAACGGTACTGGATCATCATTATATGCACTTTACACTGATATTGTTCTGTGTGCTCTGACTATATCACAACAACTTAACTCAAATTCATGAACACGCCACCTTTTAAACGCAGACGTACAAATGCAGAATATGACAAACACCAAGTCAAAAGCAGATCAGCTCAAACCTTGTATGAATTCAATAGCTAATCCACAGTATTAGCAACTTTTTTGGCAATAGTGATATACCTAGATCAACCTAATTTTTGCATGACCTGAGGATAGGCATCTTCATAATGGAGAAAAATATGCAGCCTAAAATACAAAACACAAAAGCACATTAGACTACTATAAAGAATTGACAACTCACCTTTCCTCTCTTAGACACAATTAATTCTCTCTGCCCATCTCTCTATAAACAAATCCAGTCACAAATCTTAAATGCTTATCCCCCCCGAAAAAAAACAATCACTTGAAACTCACATCTTCATTTCTGAAAAAACCTGTGGGGAGAACTTCTCTTAAAGGGAACTGAGTAAATGTTATGAAACCCATCGTTATACAGCAGGAAGTGAGAAACACTGTATACAGTATGATACAGCTGTTAATCTGTCCACACAGATAAAACTTAAACATTGAATTTCTAAATTTCCAACTGTCATTTATTTCTACTAGTTTAAGAAGGGGGGCATCCTCACACACAAACATCAAACAGCATCAGGAATAATAGGTTTTGGCGACACAACCACTTCCACATGTTTAACAACAGCACGTCCATCAGCTACAAAACTTCAGCTTTTGGCGATAAAGATCGACGCAGACAATTTCAAGTTGCAGGGACAGCAAGCGACTCGGTCAAAATTCATATTAACATGTCCTTCCTCCTGCATGCTCTATCCAGGTGTCAGCACTCGCCTAAAGTAAGTTTTCCTGTTGTTTCCTGTTTCCTCTGAATTTGTCTTGACTCATACAATCTCCTGCTGCGTTCTTCTCATGTGTAAGGCAAACCGCAAAAAAAATGCCTGGACCCACTTAAATTTTCTGGAGATCGTAAATGAAAACATCTTTTACTGATATGCCTGTTGACAGAAGGAGGAAGACATGTTTTGGGGGAGCCTGTCTGCATGGACAAATCTTAAAAATATTCCAAACTTAACTGTCATAAATATTCAAACTGTTACTATACTGTGTAGAAAACTATAATTCAGAGGTAAAGGCTAGTTTGAAACTGTAATTAACAGCTTATTTAAAAGCTTCATTTGGAAAAATAGTATGCATCAGAGACATAGGGCTTAACAATGACACATGAAGAGGAAAAAGGCTGTATATAGTCAGCAGAACACAGATAAACTCAGTCTCTAAGTGAGAGTATGCCCAGGCTACTACAACACCCAGATCCACTTTGTGCACACATTAAAAAGAACCCTAGGAGGAGTCAGAGGCACTAAGAGCATTGAAGTGCATTTAGGGAGGCCTGGGGGAAGAAATCTTTCCCCAGCATTCTTCATTATCCTGCATTAGGGAGGGCTTCTCTTCCTCACACACACACACAGACAAAATTCTCTCCCTTTTGCTACACACACTTTCTGCCCCTCACTTCGCCTCCACCCAGTCCGTACCACTCCCCTCGATACGTGATATCATTATAGTTACATGGAGTGCCATGCTTAATGCGGCCGACAGAAGGAGTAGGCTTGAGCTGAGAGAAGAGATTATTGCGAGCGGTACCCTGTACGTGGACAGGATGGATGAAGCGATGGATGGATGGATTAAGAGATATAAAGCGGAAGGTGTCAAAGGGTAAACAGTCTGAGAATGTGGAAAGGAGAGCAAAAGTAAGAATGAATGAAAGCCACTTAAAAAGGTTGAAAGAATTTAGTGTTTTTTCCAGCCACAGCATACAGTTATGATTGAAATCAATTCAGGACAAATTATACTTTGATTTTGGGAAGAAATCATTTTATAACTATCTTCAACTATCTCCAAGTTATTTAATGATTTATACCATTTATACTACTATAAAACATGACATGTCAATCTGACCCATGACCCTGTTTCAAAATGTCTCATTTTGTCTTTGAAACGAGACTCGGCAGTGATGTGGCAACACGTCCCTGTGCTGAAACGCAGATTCACAGGTGGGTGTAACTTTCGAAAAGCCCCCTGCTCTGGAGTGATTAGTGGAGCTCACCGCTGGGAGTGAGTAACTGGTGAAAAGCTTGACAACCAAATATCCACATTGTTAGGTTCAACAGCAGGATGTTGATTAAAAGCTTAAAAATTCATACTTTTTGAGCAGTGATCAATAATTTGATCAACATCAGTGTTCTCCACCACAGGCAGAGGCTGTTTACCTTTCTGGTGCTAAATCGCCACCGGTGATCAAAACTGTGACATGATTAGATATGTCACAAAATTGTGAAAGCTAATTCATATAAATGAGGCAATATTTCCCCAGTAAAGACAGTGTGACCTGTCAGCACTAGATTAACATGGTTCGGCATTTTAGAGGCATTACAAACCTTATTTGAAATTGTAGTACATAATTACAACGACGTTTAGGGGGATATGTATCACATTCTGTAAATCATTCTATAATACTTTAATTTGATGTAATGGTGCAGACTTAAAACTTGGCATCATTTTAGTTCTCCAGTGTGACAGTAATTTATTTTTTCAGACATCATACTGAAGCCAATGATTGAGTTGATGGACATAGTGCAGACAGAACTAAAGCTGCCTGCTTGTTTACCATGTCTCCTACTAACGTCAGTTTTATGCCAAGTTTCACATAACCACAATGCATTTATGACGCAATACAGAGCTGCAGACAGTGAGCAGAAGAAACTACGGGCCCTGCTCTCATTATGTTACTATTAAGACAAAGGGGCTAAGAATCTATACCACTGCACAAAATTTCCTCTATTGCTTTCTAAACTATTTGCTTAACAAGGTTTGGCAGGATTGGTTATCACAGAGGGTTACCACCACCACCTCCTTTAATGATACTGCTCTTTGACCCTGGCCACGTTGTTAAGCATTATGCACAATAGGCGACTTAAAACATGCTAATCTGAATGTTAGCTGAATGTTCTACATGGTGTATAAAATGCAAGACAGAGATATAGACTATCAGACTATTTTGTCTTCATTTTCCAGTTGGAAAAATATGTATATTTATACTGTACACACAGAACTTGTTTTTACAACTCTGTACTGTAAAAAGGAGCCTCTACATTTCACTTTGGGAAAGTGTGTAGTGTAAGTAAAAGGAATAAGAAATTCATGAGTTAACTGTGAAGCTATGCATGCAATATTTTATAGGGGAAGGGACTGGGAGTGTGTGAGGTGTGGTTAAAGTGCAAATGAGCCTCTTACCAGCATTTTCAGAGAGGGAGGAGAAGTCCTCTCTGGGGTAGGAGCCCGAAGGCTGGATGAACATCCCCTCATCGAATCCCTCTTCAGGCTCTGGTGGGAAGTTGTAGATAAAGCGCCGTGTGGTGGTCTGTTTTTTTCTCCGCCCGCTTCCGGCCGCCGCATCTGGTGCCTCGCGTTTTATTGCTGCAGGTGCTGCTGCAGCGCCACCTCTGGTAGGCTCGTTCCAGACGAAGACCTGCGCCTGGTCACTCGCCGACCGTGTTTCATTGGTCTCTGCTGAATCAGAGGAGTTCTCATTTTGGTGGGTCCAGTTACCAGAGGCTCCAGGGGTCACCAGGGCACAGCCCTCATTTCCAACCACTGTCACCTCTATGTCGCTGGTCTCCTCCTTCACTCTGCCATTGTCATCTTCTTCTTCCATCGCATCTTTTCCATGGCTGTTGCTGGCCTTGATTGACAGCTTTGACAGGATGCTTGTGGCCCAGAAGTTGCTGGGCTTCCGGTCCAGCTTTCTCTGTCCCTCTTTGGAAACCATCTGCCGCTTATTGTAATCCACCACCACTGAATCTGGAGCCTCCTGCTTGATGCTGATATTCAGAGCATCCTTTATAAAAGCCCTACACGACTGTACAACTTCTGTCATCTGGAGGTAACTAGCAACAGACATCACCTCAATGGCATTTTGGCTTGTAAGCAGCAGATTCCCGGAGTAGAGAAAGTCGAGGATAACTGAGAAGCCCTGCACAGCAGCAACATCCAGGTGCGTGACCGTGGCCTGGTCCTGGTCTTCGCTCTTGGTCAGACAGTAGAGGGTTTTGAAGTAGCGGCTGCCAGCCACCAGGATGTTTTTATGTGCACGGAAAACCTGGCCTGAGACAACTATGTTGACGTCACAGAGTATGCCACTTTTGCGTTGCTTGTCCAGCTCCTGGAGAAGCTGGTAACAGTAGGAGTTCTCATTGGGCTTGCTGCGGTAGTCTTCCTCTGAGCAGTTAGTGGACGGGCTGGCGTTGTCCGAGGGCCTTGCCGTCTCCTTTTAGGTGAAAGAGAGGTAGAGAGAAAAATGATTAGAAAAGCCTTTGTATGCTCAAGCAAGTTATTTACAAAAGCAAGCATAAATACATGTATAACCTGTCTGTCACTGTCTTTAAAAAAGACACACACGGGGATCCCTGCATGAGACCAAAGCACCTGCCCTATGGGTGAAACAAGTTTGACAGGCTTCTGTTATGGGAGGGTAATGAAAGGTGTAGTTTTACACAGACCTATGATCAAGTTGTTTTCCTCATCAAACTTGCAGTACACAACTACAAGACATAAACAAGTATCATAGAATTACAAATATAAATCTAAATAACTTTGAAGACAACTGTGGCTGCAAAATTAGCATAACTGCCAATTTGATTGACTCTTGTTTGTGTGACAAAAACAATGCAAAACAGTAAACACTGAAAGAAACCTTTACTCGCTGCGGCTGGCATGACAATGCTATGCTTACTGCGTTAGTTATAGACAGAACTTAATATGCTATCTATTTGTGCTGTGCTGCAGGAACCTCAAAATACCACTTAGCAACTGCATTTTATCAGATATCCAAGGCAATACAACAAAAATCTTACACCATTACACAACAAAAAAACAGGAATGCATCTATGGCTACTTCTTAAGATTCAAACCAGAGACCGTGCATCTGTAAGACATATCTAAGATAACTGTCCATCAAGATTCACTTCAATGCCTGTCTTAATGTGTAGGATTTTTTCTCTTTTGAGGCTTTTTTCCCCTTTTACAGACAACAATGGAGACTCTGCTTTACTGGAGCAGAATTAAACTTCTAATTTTTGGTAACTGTAGAGAATAACCTTTAAAACACTTCTAATGGGTACCCTTTTACGTTTGGTAATTTGAAAGTAGATTTTAAACACATTCAGCTTCTGTAATGTAAAATGTCCTATTAACGTATAGGCTGGATGTAAAACACGCCATAATAAGGCCTGGGGGAGGGATGACGAGTGTTCAAAACAGGGTACAACCTGACTGTAGGAGGGGAGGGGAACTGGCAGAAGTAAAGAACTACCCTGTAACAGCCCCACTTGTCCTCCCCTGCTGCCCGTACCAGGGCAAAGGGCCAGCCTGATACAGAGCAGATGAGAGGGGAGTACACACATATGTGCATGTATATGCTTGCACGGCGCACATATAACCCACATAGTTTGGGTTGAGGTAAATATATACATGCTTTCAGACAAAATACACCGCCCAATAAAAAAACTAAACCAACATGCATATAAACCAAGAATGCGTAGCAGTCTATATTGTAGTGTTTCCACAAGGCACTCACATACAGTGGCATACATCTCCAGCTCATTTTAGAATTGCACAGCAGATGTCCTAATCCAGAATAATTCACATTGCTCAAGCCCTGCATTTTTACCCCACATGCATGTGCACACACACAGAGAAACCAAGCTGCCTACACACACACACACAGCTGGGGTTTCAGCTCGAGTAATTCAGATTAAATCCATTTCTCTGAGGTCCCCACCCAGCCCCCACCCATATTCCCTCCACACTGCAGCTCTTGTCCAGGGCAGCCTGGGCACAGTATAGTATAGGGGGGCTTATCATCCTCTGCCACAGCTGGAGGGGGAGAGATGGGATGAAATGAAAGGCAGAATGAGGGAGAGCTAGAGATAGATGGGATGAAATGAAAGGCAGAATGAGAGAGAGGGCAGAAAGGGGAGTGCTTTGCAGACTAAGAGAAATAAAAGGAGGATAGAAAGACAGAAAATAGACAAGAGCTGAAGTGCAGAGTTATGATGGAGAAAGTAAAAACAGAGATGATAGAATTAAGTGTTAAAAGATGTGAAATAGTTGGAGCATAAGGAAAAAAGCTTGATAAGACATGCACAAAGAAAATGATTGAGAGCATGAGGCAGAGAGTGAGACCTTGAGCCTCGAGAAAAGGGCGGAGAAGAAAATGTGGAGCAGAGGGGGCACGAAAAGCAAGTGCTGCGGAGAGAAGGAGATGGGTCACCCCATTTTAGCCTTCACAATGGCCCGTGTTCTCCCTGAGGCTCATTGTCCACTCACTGTGGGCCTTTGTGAAAGGGCTCAGCACTCACTCTCTTATTACACAGCAGCTCCCACTCGCAGGGTGCATGTGGGTGAGGCGGAGAGGATGAGGAGTAGGAGGAGAGAAATTATTCCATGATATACACATCAAAGCCTCTGGAGGGGCATGGTCATCGTGTTGAGTACACTGGTGGAATATATTGGTGTGGTGAAGGGCATGAGTGCTATCGCAAAAAGACAAATTGGACGCTCTTTCAGTTTTTCCTGTTTTGCTTTGTTTTTTCTGCTGAAGATAGTATGGGCTCAAAAGAATAAAAGAAGGCATTAGAAAAACTATGAGTGTTCACACAGTATTTCTACCGGGGGATCTGCAGACCCCTTTTATCATTTCAACTTGCCATCCCACCCCCAAATCCCATTACTCCCCACAGCTTTTATCCATTAGGCACATAGCAAGGCAACAGGCCAGAGAGGTAAGACTTCGTCTGGCAGTTCTGATATGACTCTTTTGTGCGAGTGTGTGAATGTGTTGTATGTACACACTTGTTGGAGTCAAGCTAGGACAGCCTGGTACTGGATAAGTTGCTCCATACTGGCCTCATCAGCAGCAGCAGCATCCTTTCTCCAGATGTGCCACGTGTGAGCTTTAAGGAACCAGCACACCAACCCTGCACAGCAGATGCTGGAGGCAAAACCAGCCTGAGCCAACAGGGAATGTGGGGACAATATCAACCTCCCCACAGTTATGACGTGGCTAGTTTTCTTTATTTGAGCCAGTGTTGGTAGGGCTGGAAGACTGATGGACAGCGAGGGAAACACTCAGACACACCTCTACCAGATCATGTGATACAGCACCATACCCATGCAACATAATGACCCACTGGAGCCAGTTTTTGTTTACCTTTTACACACACACACACTTGCCTCCATCCCTTCCCTTGTCTTTCCCCACCCAGCATCAATCCAGTCCCATGGCCAGCCCAGCCCTGAGGCCATCTCCACCAGTCCTTCCAAAACTCCCTATATCTACTGTACCTCCCTCCCCCCAACTCACCCAACCCGTCTGTCCCAAGATGATAGAACAATACCGCAGTGTGCGTTTGGCCCAAGGTGTGGGAGGGCTGCACCGAGTGTCTCCCGGCCTCCCAACAATGCCTCAACAGAAGAAACAGAGTGAGGGGAAAAAAAACAGGGGAGGGTAGAGTCACTGATGGATTCAACAAGAAGAATTCTCCCTCTGGCTCCACCCCACCCCATTCCCCTGACCTGTGGCCCCCAATAAACATCTCATCTCTCTGGCAGACACCAGGCTGCAATGGGTGGATCCCCTTCCCTACACGGGGAGACGTACTCTGAACAATGGGTGTGGTGTTTGTCTTAACTGGAATCACGGGGTGAAAATGTCTTGAATAGCCCCCTCTTATTTGAATTTCTTGAAAGTGGTGTGTTATCTTATCATACACCCTATTTAGACTAACACAGTGATGCAGGTAAAACGTTTTTGGTTGTTAAACCACATGGGTCTATGCTAATTTTAAAACCTGACTACATGATCCTTCTCCGGTCCTGGGTTGAACATAGGTCAGATACCGCTGGACTTTCATGAGCAGGTGTTTCTGTTAGGAGATGGGAATTTAATTTCCTATAGATGCTCAAACAAAGAACAAAAAGAGAAAAGAGAACACAGGAGTGGGTGAGACAAAGAGGGAGTGTATGGAGAGGAAAGCTGTGGAGAGCTGAAAATGAAACTAACTTAATGCAATAATTATGCCGTATAGCTCTGTGTGTCATGATGTGTATGGAACTACAGTTGTAGAATAGTGTCTCTGTACATTGCGATGAAAAGGTATTAGTCTGCGGCAACAACTGTGGGTGTAACATGTTTGTTGCCCCATGTCATACACCCATCCTCTGAATTACATAGGAACCCGGCTGTTCTACTCTTGTCTCATCATGCAATTTTACTAATTTGTGAACATAAGGAAAAAACTGTCTCTAGAGAATGAACAGATGTACAGATACCAGATATGTGGTCTGATCTCATATCTTACCACAGAGACACAATGGTCTGATTTTGCCTCATCTTAACCTTTAACCAGTGAGCATAAGGAACAATCTGAGCACAAGACGGCATCTAGAGAATTAAGGACAACAGCCCCCTTCTCCAAAGAGACCCACATTTACCACAGCTGCCCTGGTGTGCTAACAATAATCGAGTTAGCTTTAACGAATGCAGCAGAGGCCTGACTAACGTCAGGAATGGGTGAATAGGACAAGACGTTGCCTCGTTCCACCATAATTCCCCTTTAATGTACTGCTCACAATGCAGCCTAGCTTAACATACACTGCTGCTGATTATTTCCACGGTACTGTATTTATGAAAAGGATTATAGTTTTATTCAAAAGCCTACAAAATAAACTGATGAGTTTTGAAATAAGAATAAAACAGCAAGAAATTGTTCAATACAAATTGTTTCCAGTTACACAGCAATGGGACATTATCTCCCCAGCTCTATCCTCCACGACAAAATGCCCTGGATAACCTCTGAGAACAGTGTATGGGGTCCTTGTTGCTAGGGAAAAACCACACCAAGCCCCTAATCCACTCCTACTGCTCTCCTTACCAATTAGAGATGTGTACAAGTTTGCAGATCACTTTAAGTCATTCTGATTAGTGATTGCGTGTACAAAGGAAGGAACTAAATGTAGTAGTGCAATCCTCTTCGCTCACAAATTAGAGTCAAATAGCACCCAGCACTTAATTCCCCTGACAGCTCAGAACACTGTCAGGATATGATGCTGGATGTGGCAATGTACGAGGAACAGTGAGTAACCGTATTTATTTATTTTTTTTAATATAGGACTGATGGGAGACATGTTCTTCAACACATTGTTTTTATGAGGGAACTGAAATAATAGTAAAGAAATGTTGCTGATACTGCAATAAAAATAATGAACCAATAAAAACACCTCATGCACATCAATAAAGACAGAGTTCACCAAATATAAAGCTGGCATGGTGGTTTTCTATTAAAAGCAGTCAACAAAATACACAAAGTAAACATACTATTGATGACTTCACTTCAAACGTAGGCTACACACGTTGTATTTATATGCCAATCAAATAAATGAGGAATAAATTCAAATTAGTGTGACATAGGACTCCAATCTTGTGCACACAAAATGGGTCCCTAATCATAAACTATGCCCCAAAGGAATCACACTGGAGCCCATTAATCCCAAAATATGTGGATGGCAGGGTCAGGTGATGCCATGTCATTCTATTAACTGGCATCAATTTCCCCTCATTTAAGCCCATTCATAAGGTTGCATAGCCTATAGGCAAGGCAAGCTGTCAGGCTCTGGGCGACATGATTTACTCTGCTCCTCTTGTCCACCCTGCAATGACACCATCTATGGATTTTGGGGGGTCATTGTAGCACAATGCCTCTAATTTAGCTCCCCAAAGGAAGGAGGAGAAGAGGGAGGAGGAGGAGGAAGAAATGCGCCAGAGGTCACCCGGGACCTGGAGCCAGCAGAACTCAATGAGAGGCCAAAGGCAGGGGGGGGTTGTGTAGGGGTGCGGTTCCCCAAAGGCTGTAAGGGTCGAGCCCTTGCCATTGTGTGACCTTTAGCAAGCTAGCAATCAAGACAGCTGCTGACACAACAAAAGGGTCTGTACAGTGAGCATGTACAAAAGTGCTCCAAACCACCAATGGTGTCCGCTGCTTGCTAAACACGTAGGAGGCTGAAATGATTAACAGTTATCCGTGACATGCAGTTCATTCCGCGGTATGAGAAACAGCCTCCGGTGTGACAGTAGCTAGCAGGTGTCACACTGGAGCAGGTTGGTGCGTCTACCACGACTGGTGTGGGGACAAGACACTCACATTTTAGTCATGGACCGAACCAGAGGTTCCACGTCTCTCACACAGAAAAGTGGCTGCGTGTGTTTTTGACATTCATAACTCAGTTAGTCGACATTAGCATCGCTAGGGGCTTTCCACAGCGCTCTACCTCCGACAAGACAGCAGAGCCGCAGGGCAGCTAGTCCGCTAAGCTAGTTGCTAGCTCGGGTTAGCAGGTAGATGCTAGCTAATTAGCCGCGAGAGGGGATTGGGAATGTTCGGCAACAGCCTTGTTTGGGCTTCTGTGTAATTTAGAAGTTGTTCAAAAAGTCATTATAAGTGTCAAACAAAACAGAAGCTGACATGTGTAGCGACAATTGTGTGTCAGGTATTTAATGCGACGCAGGTAACTAAGCGAAAGCGTCATGGACGTGAGCTAACGTACCTGTTTGGTGGGGTCATTCCTCCCGTGCTCAGAAGACAGGTGATGTCTCAGCAACAAGGCCCGCTTGTAGTTGCGACTCCCCTTCACGAGCTCGTCGCTGTTTTTAGTGGCAATGTTGTGACACCAGGAGCAGGACATGAGTCCCGTCTCCTGGCTGAATTTCAGCCATGGAAATTCTTGCAACCACGAAGCGTGGAACAGTGAGTGTTTCTGAAGCAGCGTCTGCGGTCTCATCTCTACCCCAGATTTCCTGGAGCCCGTCTCGCCGCTTCCCGACTCCTGGCCGTCGGCGTTGTTGGGACCGTTCCCCGCTGCACAGCTACTCCCCTCTCTGGACCCGTTCTCCGCTTCCACCGAGCCGACACGATCGTCGCCGTCCGCGGCTGCCCAGCTGCCCCCTTCCGGGTCCTCTTCTTCCTCCGCCTCGGGTTCCGTGCTATCGCTGACAGACCCAGCGCCCTCCACTCTCCCCTGCGATGGTCCTTTCGCCCCCAGATCCCTGTCCTCCTCTTGATCCGGCCTGTTCCCGTTAAAATGTCGGTCTTGACAGGCCAGGGCCTCCCAGCTGTTACAGTTCCCCCCACCGATACCGCTGGAACCCGTTAACCCGGCCAGTCCACCCCCTCGGAAAGCCAACGACCTGCGGTTTCTCTCACCGGACATTTTTCCTAATATGTATTAGAATCTTCACTTTCTCAACAGTATCCACCTCCGACAAAAAAACAACGTCTGTGCAAACGATGTATTTCCCGAAAGAGATGAAGCGACGTCGTTGCTTTTCTCCGCCGCTGGCCCTCCCGGTGAGAGTATGTAGGTTATGCGGAAATAAATAGAGGTTTTAAAGGCATAATGAATTTCAGGGTTCTCACTGCGTCCGCGCAGGCCCCGCAGAGGTCGAATGGCAACGACTTTCCCCCACAATGCACCTCGAGCAGAGAAGGGGGGCTGGAGAGGGAGGGGACGGCTTTTAAAGGAAGATGGGGGTGCTGTTGATCAGCCTGCACCCATCTTCCGCATGTTTCTGATCCTGTGGCTCGGCTGCTCCTCCAAGTGCTCCCCACTTACACTCATACCGGAGCACTGCAGGAGCTTCTGATGTGTCTATGATACAATATATTGATTATTTTATGTTTAAAAATAATCATGTTAAAAGTGTTAAGATATATTTGTGTAATTATATGCATGAACATAACTATAAAGCAGCGTCTGTACAATAAATAGCCTACATTTATCAGCAAAATATATGCGTTTTTTTTAATCAATTAATTGCCTATTGATATTGAATTACTTTAACACTCTATTGCAGTATTGTAACCTTTTTCTTTATCCAAAGCATGAGTTTAACATAGAGTATATGCCACCATTATAACATACTTAATAGCATATTTATTCTATATATCTAGGGTATTTGAATCAATAAATAATAACAGATAATACAGTTTTAAACTTTAAATTAAAAAGCCATATGAGTTTAACAGAGTCACGTGATGTGTGATCCTTCAGCAGTTAAACTGGAATCCTCCACAGACCAGTGACATGTTAATAGTCCAGAGTAAAGTATTCTAATGTACCACCATGTATCACAGGTCTGTATCTGTTCCTTAAGTCCAGCAGGTGGCACTCTTTCATGTGAACACCCCTCTGTGTGTGTGTGTGTGTGTGTGTGTGTGTGTGTGTGTGTGTGTGTGTGTGAGAAGCCTGACATAGTTGGGTGTATAGTTTCAATGCTGTCCAATTAAGGGCTTTGCACTCAGCTTGTGAACAGGAAGGTTTTGATTACTACGAGGTGGGGGGGGGGGGGGGGGTTGTCCCCACTGTAATGGTTAAATTCCCTGGGGGGCAATAAGGTATACCATGAATGATTAGGTCATCTATTTATTGCTTGAGGCATTGGCTTCCAACTCAACATTAGACACCAACTGTGTTTGACAAATTGAATTTCCCAGCTGCTGAATGATGTATATCAAACTATTCTGTCAGGTATGAAATGAATGAGTGTGCATTGCACTCACTGTGATTAAAAATATTTTCAAACTTTAGCTTGTTTGAATATCTGGTGGAGATTTCGCAATAGTTCACATGAACTCCCAAACTGTTTTTCAAGTTCCACTGTTTTGATTGTGAAATTCTTAAAACATTCTTCAAATATTTCATTGGCAACTGTCAAAGGGAAAAACAAAAACAGATTTGAGAAGCAAGTATGGAGATGTGAAATGAACAAAATAATGCATCGAGCAAAATCAGAACAACAATTCATCTGATGCATTTTTAAATATTACATTCCAAACACTATTCATAGTGTTACTGAATCTTTTGTACACAATTAAACACTCCATTATTTTCATCTCAGAAATGTCCTCATTTTATTTAGGATTTGAAGCAGCTTGGACCTTTATTTATATGATGGGTTAACTCAGAATCCATCTCAACAAGGATCTCTGGTATTAATCACAAATATTATATATATTATATTATTATTACACTTTAATGTAGCACTGGAAGATCACATATACAATTTATAGTAACACTTTAGATAGTAAAAATAAAAAGAGTATTAGACACATGAATATACAGTTGATATCAAAAAGTAAATGCCTCCAAAATTATGTAAAATCCCCATTCATTCTTCAAAATGCAAAGATTAAAAAAATCCCACAAAAAGAGAAAATAACACGATCAGGTGAACTTCAATAAAATGTGCAGGTTGGGTCAATATTACTATTTAGAATTAGAAGTGTGTGCTAAAGTATTTAGTTTAGTTTGTGCTGACAATATAGTATATCAATGTATTACAGTGCTTTATTTCGTATTTGGTTTGTGCCATAGCATTTTATTAGATTTAGTTTGTGATAAATATTTTTTATGAAGATTTAAACATACACATTGTGTTACAGTGTTTTCATTTGATAATTTTCAGTTTATCTCACGTTACCTTGTATTTATCTGCTAACGTGGAGCGGTTGCCCAGCAGCTGCACTGTTGACGGCTCCAAACTCGATCCACGTGCTCGCCTCTGTTTACACTGCTACGTGCTGACGTCACCGCGGAGCCCCACCCCTCACGGCGAGCTGCCTGGCAACATGAGCGAGAGAACAGGAAGGTCTGCAGCAGCCGAGTGAGGAACCTGCGCCGCCTGCAACCAAAACCACCAGAAACTACACCTCAGCAGCACCATGGAGGATGCAGACCAAGGTAAACCGCTCACCGAGACGAGTCGCTGTGCCGCTGTCGTAACCGAGAACGGGTGAAACCTACTTTTGTGTCACATGAAAGTTAGCAAACTAAGCTAACTGATAAAAAGTTTGGAAACATATGCTTCCTTTCCATCTCGAGAAGTAGCAGCATGTTTGGTAACGATAGAAGCATCAACGAGTTTTCTGTTTGGAAGAAAGGAAATGGTTGAGGACACTAATTGAGGTCACGTACTTAAAAAGGAAAATAACACGGAAGTTCAATGCTGCACTGCTTTTGTTCCAACATGTTGACACCCGATGAGTTGAACCTAAACGAGGAAGTTGGGTGTTAAGTTTTAAACGTGAGCTAAACGACACTCTGAGTTAAATGTCGCACATCTGGCGTGGGTTTGATGTATTGAGACGCGATCTGATGAGCTGTTTTGGATGTTGCTCTGCGGCTTTAGCTACAAATTGTTGAGTAAATGAAGCTGCACAAACAGGTTACACCCATTTGACAGATCACTACATGTTCTCTTAATGTTGATCTGTGCTCGTCGGGTCACACTGTCAACATCACTGGCCTCTTTTCCATCAGAACAATGAGTGAAGAAGTTGAAAGTAGCACAGTTCTCTGTTTCAGCCTCTATTAGACGACTGAGAGGTCAAACAGGCCCGAGCACATGTGTGCACACTGCAGGGCATTTTAATGCAGAGTGCATGAAGATGAGGTGAGGGGGCAAATTCTACCTGTTATTTCTTTCTCCTGATCTCTCCCACAACTTCCTGGACGTTACCTTTCCTGCCAGGCAGCCATCTGTTCACTCCTCTACACCACTGTCTTTGTGCACTTGCCTTTAGTGGGAGCTGCCTCTCAGTGAAGTGCATGTGTTTTGCAAGAAAACCGGACATTTGTAATGAAATTGAAGCTTGTATGTTCGACTCCGTTCAGTTGATTACAAACTCTGAGATTTATTTGTTCACCTTAAGGGGATGTCAGATGACAAGTGCTCAGCTCTGACCTCATTTCCAGTCTTCATTCTTCTGGTTTGAGAAATATAATTTCCTGATGTCTGCATGCTCAGCCCCAAGGTAGAACATTTTTGCAGAAGATGCATCATATATTGTATATTGACACACCAAAGTAAAAGTAAAAGGTCAAAGTATGTGACCTGTTACTGGTTGATAATTCATGCATATAGGTTTCAGTCCAAATTAAGTACATTTTCATGCATTGTTCCTGTGCTTTTTACGTTGGTCTACCTACAATGTTTTCCACTTAGTGAGTGGAACTGATGCACCAACAGTCCAGGCTGGAAATATCTTAAATAGTATCACTGTCAGTTGCTCTATAAACACAGAAATGCTATGACTATCAGACTTCCATTCAGGTCAGACTGTTAAGTAGTGTTGCTGAAAGTTGTTAGTGCATTAAGTAAAACCTAAAGATTTTTGAGTGCAAATTAAGTAAAAAAAAGTTGTTTGTAATACAAAGTGCAAGTGTCACTAATCCGTGCCTCTTCTGTCTGCAGAAGTAACTTAATGTCAAAATAAATGTTTATCCTTCATTGTGTCCAATTAACTGTCAAGATAACAGCAGTTCAGTTTTTTTTTTACTGTCGTGACATGACAGGGAAGTTGTCATGATAAGAAATTTCAGTGTCACACTTTGATGCAGGTAACTGTGGTCATTGTATCTTGCCACTATCCAGTTCTCATCTGGTTTTGACTGTGTGACCTTTTAAATAATAAAGATTTCCTTCTGTGCACTTGAATTCCCCTGTATTTTAATGGAGTTCCCAGTAGTGACATTAAATCATATGGGTCCCTATTTGCTTAAGTGGGAATTTGTTTCACCTCATTAGTTGTGGAAATTTTATCTGTGTTCAGAGAAGAAACAATGTTCTATTCTTATGCTTTACTTACCATTAAAATGTCTGGAGGTAAAGTGTTTTTGCAAGTTCCCCTTAACTTCTCAAGAATGTCACTCCACTAAGTTACAAAAAGAAAGTCAAGTCTGATCTGTGACTTTTTCGGGGATGTTGTTTGTTTCTGGAACTTTCTGCTCCCCTGATTGAAGTTTATGCTTTTGGCCGAAATCAGATGTTCAGAAATGTGAGTCTGGCTGACCAGTCCATCTTGTTTTTCAACTGGGCCGTCTAATGAGATTGATCATGAGTCCTTGCCAACATTTTTTGGCTTATTAGATTTAAATCAGACACAACCATACGCTTTCAGCTGTCACAGGCAACTTTCCCAAGCCAAGAATTTACAGCCGACTTGTTCAAGTCTGAAATTTGTTGTACTAGAACAAAATGATACTTTCAAAATATATTGAAAGATCTCAGACAGATTTCAGTCAGATTAAACTAATGTTTCACTTAGATATTAGACTTGTGATCCAAAGTATCTTGATATTAGAATATTATCATGAATACAGTTGAATAAGTGAGTTATCATGTTACCCTGTTTAAGGTTCATAAATAGTGCAATATTTAGTTACTATTGTACCTATGAGGTTTGCTGCACATTGTGGAATCTTCTTGTAAAGGGAACAGCTTTACATTAAGCAAAAGTACAATTATGTAAATGTCTGGTCGCACTGTAAAGTACAGCGCCAGTTATGCACATATTTGTGTGTCCTGATTTGTCGCACATGTTAGATCACATCAGTATTATGCACACACAGCAATGGTCTTTGTCTTAATGTGGGTGGGAGGGGATGTAACTGAGTTCACCTAGAAACACATGTTTGTCAGCAGTCATGGCCGTCACAAGTCATTGTGAAAGGAGCAGTTTGATATGTTGAAAACACAAAGAAGAAAAGGCCTGCTTCCTACAGACAGTGGTGTCAGCCAATTTTCATCACAATACAATCCCCTTTGTATAATATACAGTCTTTAAACGTTTGAGTCTAAAGACACAGTAATGCTTCTGGTTTCAGTACTTCTTCATGACGAATTCTGCATTAACCTGTGAGATTTGGCCAAGCTGAACTCTCACCTGTCTGGGAGCTCTGGCATCACACACACGCACACACAAGGATGTTTGCACAGCTATCCTTATTAGGACTTTGCATTGACATCCATTCATTATGCACAGCCTAACCAAAACCTCATCCTTGATCTTATCCAGGACCAATCCATGCCTAACTTTAACTCACATCTTACACCTAACCTTAACCAGGATGTTTTGGCCCATAAGGATTGGGCTTTGGTCCCATGAGGACTACTGGTCCTGACAAGTTCAGTGTCTATGCTGAAAAAGATCCTGTAGAGGTAACAAAAATGAGTAGACACACACATACACAGTATCCTCATGACACTGTAGAGAGAAACCTTGGGCGTCAGTGTCAAATGGAAATGTTTTTTTCCCGAAATGCACTAGTTGTCGATAAATGAGTCATACAAGTATTGTGTCAAACACATGAAGTATAGTCCTACTGTGTAATAACAGTG